GCTTGTCTTGAACGATGAACTATTTGTGGTGAAACCTTATGTGAATGTTACACCGCGAATAGTAACAATGTGATTTTATGAGTCACATCCTGAAGATTTATCCGAATTTCTCGACAGATTTAATCAGTCACAAGTGTTCTTTGGAGAGTGAGCAGATATTGTATATTGTCAGCTCATGATTTGAGAATTACATTCATTTACTGAGAATACCATCTGCTGTCATGCTTTTCTACCAGCACTCATCGTATTGTCAGAAAAAAGAACAAACGAATTCACTGACAGCGATGAAGAGGTATGCCAAGGAATAGCTTATTGTAATTTCTGATATCATTATCCAAGGCATTCTTTTCGTCATCAGGTAAAGGATTCGCTACAGCCTCATAACCATCTTTTATCATACGTCCAATAATATTCATCGTATTATCAAGAACCTGAAAGCATACTGAGATCACTTCTCAATTTGGGGAACGTTTTCAATTTCAGTCATTTGCAAATAAAAAGGAATCGTCCTTGAACTACAATTCAATGGTCTCAATTGGTCGAAAGTTTATATCAATTTCTCTGTTANCAACCAACATTATTGAGTTGATCATTCGTTAGTTGACTTGCATTCGCTTTCAAATATCTATTCAGATTGTGCAACATGCCGATGGCTTTCTTTTGCGAATTTACATTCAGAATACTTTGTGGTTCTCCTCCTGCAAATTAAAAATTTCAAAACACCGCGTTTTCAGCAATAAATTCTCACTCAAATAACAAAACTATCTTATTCATTCGTTCAACGTTCGAGCAAAAGTTCAGATCGGCAATTAGTACCAGTGCCATTTTGTCATCGAATGATCTTAGTGATTTGTTTGTTCAAAGCAAACAACTTCACCTCTGGCTTCAGATGCTGGTAGACCATTTGCTAACATAGTGAAGTCCCTGATCACAAATTCATCGCTTGCGTTTCGTAGAATGTTACCACCAAACAAAGTAATTTGCAAATTGGTGTTCATGTCGAGTTTACTCTCGTAGTGTGGTGTTACTGCAATGCGTATCAAGCCACCGATCAATTTGATCCCTATTGAGTTATTCTTTCCTTTTATTTCCTGGAATGTGTTTAATTCAGCTAGCACGATTGGCTGCCATATTGATGAAGATGTTTTCAGAGAGTCTGTTTGTAAAAAAACGTTTCGAAAGCGGCGCTACCTGAAAGAAGCTATCTTACCCCAATGGAAGTGTCACTAATCTCCAGTGGAGTGCTTCTACTGTTGAGAGCTATGCGGACCTGCCTACCGTTGTACATTAACCAACCACCGTCGCCAAAAGTTTCCGTTGATTTGTCTCCCAACTTCACCTAAATTTCAACAATAACCTACGCGCTCTCTTATAACCTGATCACTTTGGCCAACCACATGTAAAACAACAAAACTAGATCACA